AAAGAAGTTGCGGAGGAAGAAAAGTGGCAGAGAAAAAAAATCAGAGAAGAGAGAGAGTGGCTCTCGATACCATGTTTAGAGATATAATGAGAAGGAATGGTTTCATTGACTTGTCAAATGGTGAGAGTGGCTCTCGATACCATGTTTAGAGATATAATGAGAAGGAATGGTTTCATTGACTTGTCAAATGGTGATGAGCTTGTTCTTATACAACTCACATGCACTCACACATGCACATCACACGTGCACATAACAGAAACTAATATGTAACCACCTAACTAATCATTTGCTTACAAAATAAGCTACACAATTATAATAGTTATGGTTTGGCCTTCTCCAGTTCATGCATAGGACGTAATTAATCCGTTACTTTCTTATTTTGGATTAAAATGAAGACAAGACTTAAATCATGCGACTCATGACTCATGAGTCGTGATGCACGACTAACGACTTATTAAGCAATGAGGCATATATATATTTATATATACTTTTAAATATGCATAGTTATACTATTATATTTTATATTTATAGTAACTTTTTTCTAAACTATATCATTTTTTAATAAAAATAAATATGCATATTTTTTAAAAGAGGAGTGTCTAATCGTTTGGCCAGGAAAACGAACAGTTGAAAAAAAAAATGGAGAAACAACTTATATGAACAAAAACCGAACGTCACTGTATATATATTTACCTCATTTAATACTCAATAAATAATGTATAGCAATGTTGATTTTATACATATAATGGATTAGTTTGTGGGGTTGACGGCAGGTGCGGCCCTACGGACGAAAGTCACCGAAGCAGGGAAACCCAAATGAAACTCAAGTGAGGTTTCATTTCAAAACCAATTGGTGGTAAGAGTAGTAGCCCACTAGGCTTATAAGTTAGGCTAATTTTTCCAGTATAAACGATGTGGGACAACTCACAAGTGTATATTCTAACATTAGTCCAAGCACGAGACTGTTATAAGACTTCACTCAGTTCACAAATCGTCACATAATTCAAAAAGTCTACGCACAAGTCTTCTCTAGCGTGCCCCACATTTCCCCCCATTGTTTACTCCTATCCTTTTTGATTATTATGGCATAATTAATTATATCACGATATAGTTAAAACTAACTATATGGAGTGTGTATCTCAGCCTCAGCATAAATAATGTTCTATAAAGAAACCCTATATTGTAGCCTCAATTAATTATTAGTTATATAGGTGAATTGGTCGTTCAATATGAAGGCATGAAAGTGTAAACTTAATTTTTATTTTATTTTTATATATTTTGCATACTTTTCAAAGCAAGTTAAACAATTATCTTATATTACTTTTAAACTATATATATTTATTGAAAAATTATGCTCATTTATTTTACTAAACTAGACTAACAATAACTATATGTAAACATGCCCCCAAGTCCCCCAAATAAATATGGTCATGGTCAATAAGTTGATGTTAGGCATTTATTGGGTCCCAATTCAAAATTTACTTAGCCACCACTCATAAGCAATACATCAATGCAGTACCCATGAAGCTTCTCTCTAAATAACAGGNGCTTCTTTTCCACTTATATCTCACTATCTATAGAGACCCCTAAAAAATTCCAACTTATAAATACTAGTTTAATGAGCTCTCAATAGCTTATCATCATGGCTGAAAACTACCAGAATTACCCAAATGAGTCCACCTTTGAGGTTTCTGATTTTTTCGAGTTCAACGATTGGGCCGCGTTCTCATCCGTGCCCGCCGGCTATAATGAATTGAGTCCTCCTATTAGTGATCCGAACTATGTAAACGAGTTTGTCGTGAACTCGAGTGACAACAACACTTCATTACAAGAAGGGACTATGATCAATAATAGTAAGTGCATGTTTATAGATTCCAGAGCAGCCATCAAGTTTCACTGTTGAATTGTGTGTGTATTTATATGTGTTGATGTTGATCAAATGGTGAAAAGTCTATTAAATTGTGTGTGTATTTATGTGTGTTGATCAAATTTCAGAATCTACAATGCAATCACCGATAGAATCCAACGTAAAATGTAAGATTGAAGTGGACTAATTGATGTGAGTGTTATTGTGATAATTAGGGGAAAGTGGTATTGGCAAGAAAGAGAGAAGAGAAAGAGTTGCTTTCAAAACCAAGTCTGAGGTTGAGGTACTTGATGATGGCTTTAAGTGGAGAAAGTACGGCAAAAAAATGGTTAAAAACAGCCCAAATCCAAGGTATGTTAATTATTTTTTTCAACAAAATTACGTTGTTTACCTAGAAAATTTCTTTTATTTCTACAATCACCAAGTCTTTTGAGTTGTGGTTTATTTATGCAATTGGGTCCTAAATTGCATTATTTTTAGTTAATGACAAGTTTATCGATGATTTATGTATGATTTTATTTTCGAAAAAAATTTAAAATTTGTAGTAAATTTTATGACAGGGTTTGCAATAATCAGGAAACACTTAAATTTGATGGTAAATCAGGAACTACCACAAAAAGATGACACCTAAAATGTCTATATTAGCAAACACTTTACTGATGACAAAAAAACCTTGTCTTGTAATAAATAAACAGGAACTACTACAAATGCTCGATGGATGGCTGCCCGGTGAAAAAGCAAGTCGAACGGGACAAAGAGGATCCACGATACGTGTTAACAACGTACGAGGGTGTCCACAATCACCCGTAAATTTGAATAAGTATTCGAAAACAAAATGAGCTCTCAGTATAATTCTTAAGGAACAGCCCAGGTTGACTGTCGGTCTTGACTGGAATTCTTGAGAGTAAATAGATTCCCATTGCTTTGCAATGGAGAAAACAAAATTTGATGGATAATAGAAAAATTTCCACCTCTATTTAGATTGTCAACTTGTTTTATTGACGCGTAGTGTTTTTGAATGCACAGGCAGTGTCGAATTAAAAGTAGACTGCAAAAACACTAGGTTTCGAGTCGTTACTTTAAAGGGATTTCCAGTTTTAGTCATGTAAACTTTGGTGTGTTTAATGATATCATATTCAACTATGATTCAACAAGCTGTTGGCCAAAAAAGTTGGCTGGTTTAATAAACGGGCTCGATTAGCTGTTCGAGTTTGGCTAACTCGTTATGTGAAAGAAGGAGTCGATCACAGCTCGGTTTGTTTAACATCTTTAGATTCAAAGAATGCTGTGTTTGGTCAATCTGTACTACATTTATACAACAATAGATACTCAGTTGAGCTGAATTTTTCAACATGCACCAGCCTCTACAAAGATCTCTGCAAACACATTTCACAGTAACAAATTTATTAAGTACCTAATAAAAAACAGAATCTTTAAGAAAAACAATGTTGGGATTTCTTACATGAACATTTAGCATGATCTGCTTGTCCCACATTTCTGGTTCGTTTCGACCGGGCAAGGATATATATATATATACTCCACAATACATCTTCAGTCAATGCCTTACTCAACAACACGTTCAGATATTTCACAACAGCATTAGAGCTGGAAATGAGATTCTGGTTCGATTTCGACCAGGCAAGGATAATGAAGTTTTTACCAGAAATTGTGAATCCATCAGCATCGACACAAGCCACATTAGAGCTAAAGTTACATGAAATTGCTATGGACCGAGCAAACAAAATCAATTTCTTGCTTGTACAAAATTGACACTTGAATCTTCAAAATTGAGGCAAAAATCCCACATTCACAATTCTGTCCCATATACATATATATCTAATACACCATAGTTCAAAGAAACAAGAAGAACTGGGAGAAATAAAAGAAAAGTTGAACAACTGTAAGACACAAGTTTTCACCTTTATAAAATTTGTCTAAAGACTGCATATTTAGCAGACGAAGAAAGCACAGCTCACAGCTAACAACAATACATTTGAAACAGAACGTGACCATAGAAGAATCTAGAAGTTCGAGTCAACATGCGAAAATCTCTTGGAAGAGAAACCCCTGATTTGTTTGATCCGACCGAACCTCATTTCGCGTAAATTCTTGATGAATCAAATTATACAGTTATAAGCCTTCCATTGTTCAACCAGATGCACAAACACGCAAGGAACATTAAATAACACAGAGCGATTGACTGATAGCAAGCATACAACAAATACAACAATCACAGGAAATTTCAAGCAATAAAGTAGGATTCATTGATTACAATCTCTGCTGAGCTACCTCTCTCTCCCCTCTTGTTCTCTCTCTGCTGGTTTTATGACTTATGGATGGCAATTTGGCCGCTACATTTCCCGCTTGAGAATGGTCGAACAATTAATCCAACCCATTCATCTACCAGTCGGAAGGGCCCGTTCGTGTACAACTAAACTTTTTTTCATTTTTTTTTTTTATTTATAGACTAATGCGGTGACCGTGCACGGGCGCATTTATTACCCATTTATTTTTTAAAAGATATTTTTGTATTTAAATTGTCTCATCCCATTAAAAATTTCATGAAAATGAAATTTATATGTTATTAAACACTTTCTTATATACAACATTATTGATTTGATTCTTTTGGCACATAAAGTATTACATATGTGTTGGAATTTTTCCCAAATTGCATATTATTAGTTATTAGTTAACAAATTTTAAAAAAATTAAAGGATCTTATTTATTAAACAAAATTGAAGTAGAAAAAAAAGTAGATTTTTTTAGGGACTTTCACCCATTATTTATTTTAAATCTAATTCTAATTTTCAATTAAGAAAAATTGAAAAGAATCATTAGTTACTCTGGAAATGAAACCGGTTTTCCTACCAATAAACCGATTTTTTTATCAAACAAATTGATCCGAATTTTTTTTTAAACCAAATAAAAAAATCATCAATTTTTCCTAAAAATACAACCGAATTTTCCTAACATTGCACCGATTTTTGTACCAAACAAATTGAATTTAAAACAATTCTAATAAAAAATTGAAATAAATTGTTAATATTTATGCAACTGTCTCTTTCCTAAAGAAAATGATATGACTTAACAAAAAAAAATGATATGAACTTACCAAAATTTCGGTAAAACATGGTTAAGAAAAAACATAATAATCCAAAAAAATCGATGCATTTAAATTTTGAAAAGTTACACACAATTTTTCCTAAATAATTGGATAAGGTGACTTTAATTTTAAATACCGATGATGAACTGCTTTTGTTACCAAAAAATGTGGACACAATTTTGAATGTACCGTCCAAACACCAGTTTTATTTTAAAATAAAAATTGCACGGGGCTTTAGCCAATTACACAATTTTTTGAAAGAAAAAGTTATTCAATAAGATTGGATGAATTGGTTAAGAATTATACAACTATTTGCTTCCTAAATTTGTACCCAGTTTGCACGGTTTTTAAATTAATTTGTATTTAGATTTGTTTTCATAAATAATTGACATATTTTTTGCATAGGAATCTCCAAATTTGTTACCAAAAAGATATGATTTAAATTTTGGTAAAAAAATAAAATATGATACGAAAAAAATGGGATTCAAATTTTGTCATAAAAATCTCCAAATTTGTTACCAACAAAATAGGATTTAGATTTTATTACTAAAGATTTACATGTGTTTTTTTTAACTTTTCATTAATAGTAAGTCAAACATTATATTTATTTGGTCAAATTTTTTATTAATGTATTTTTCCAACAACCTCTTTATATATACATATATATTGATTTAAGTGAAATAGTCCAAACTTATTTACGAAAAAGTGTTATTGGATTTCACTTCATCTAGAAGTTTAACTTGTCAAATTCACTAACTATTTGATAAATAGTGTATTGTATAACTGTTTTAAAAAATTTATGTTTGACATATTATTCTACAAATCTTATATTTTCAACCTCTTATATTGAAAACAATAAATTATTTTAGTTATTTATCTCCCCTCCCGAAAACCTCAAAATTTCTCATCTGAAAACCCTCTTCTTCTTCCTTTCTTGGCGACTCCTCTCAGTCCGATGCTCCGCACCACCGCGGCGTTGGTCGTTGCTAGGCCGAGTAGTTTGTCTCTCATATGATCGACGTCTCCTCCTCTACGTAGTACTTCGCTGCTTGTTGTTGGTCGACTATGGTAAGGTTCTTGGAGCGGTGCTTCTGCAGCGAGGACGAGTTGTTAGTTCCGATTGCCCCTTTGTGGTGGTCGGGATTGAGGTCAGCGTTTTCTTCTCCCTCATTGTCCCCCTTTTTATGTTATTCTCTGGTGTTGGGCCGATAGGTTGCGCTGGCGGGAGAGGACTTCGGCTCTGGTCGTGGTTTGGGCCTATGGTTACCGGTGGTGTCGGGGGTGGAGTTAGATGAGGGCCTCCAGTTGCTGGTTTGGGGTTGTTCCAGTTGGGAGAAGAATCTATTTCGGTTGGTCCGAATCTAGTTAGCTGTAGATGTACTGGAGTTTCTGAATCTGTGATTTGGCTGAGTTTCTTCCCGTGTGGGTAGTCGCTTCTAGGTGTCGGTTTTCTTGGTGTTGTTGCAGAGTGGCTTGTCGGCTGGTGGGAAGGGCGTTATTCTAGTTATGCTTGTACAATTACTTTAGTCGGTTGCTACTAGCTATTTTCAAGACTATACGTACTTTTATCTATAAACTATGTGGTTCCAAAAAAAAAAAATTGAGGTTTTTCCAAATTTAGCATTTGTCTCAAAAATCTAATCAAACAAATTCTCTACCAAATAAGTTAATTAATGAATTTGGCGGGTCAAGCCTGCAAACATGGATCAATCCCTTGATTTTACACCTATTCGCTAGCATTCAAAGAGGGTCGTTATAATCTACTATCAGCTATAAGTAACTAACTAGCAGCCTCACAAGGCCTTCATATTACGAACAACTCATTTAATTTTTTTTGTTATATCAAATATGTCGAGCCCAACTTGACCAAGCCATTAGTTCGTTTATTAAATGAGTATGAGAGCTCAATTGTCTCGGCTCGAATAATACCCCTAAATTGCTATCCAACCCGAAATTCCAAATTGATAGGCCCAGCCCACTATAGCCCCAACCTTATATTATGGGCTTGTAAAAAATTGATTATAACCAGATATGATCCGATCCACATATATACCCGAACGCTCTCACATTTCAATTTTCATCACTGCTAAACCCTAACTTCTGTTTCACGCACGTTAGATCTCACTCACTCTACACAGTTTTTCCGTCCAGTTCGTCTCCGCACGGCTATGGCAACCACTACCGAGCCCACGGCCTTGAAGAAAGAGGAAGAAGAAGAAGAAGATGACTCGAAGCCATCTGCTGAAGACGAGGACACAGGGGCCCCGATTGCCCCGATCGTCAAACTCCAGGAGGTCTCTGTTGCTACCGGCGAGGAAAATGAGGATATTATGCTTGATTTGTGAGTGTTTTGATTCATATGATTGCTGTGAGTTTTGAATTAGGTTGGCGAATGCGTGTCGATCCGTTTGATCTTGTTTGGTCTGCCTTTTTCGCGATCGGTAGAGTTGATGTATCCGTATAAATCGAAATGATCGTTTTAAGCAGCTAATAGTAATTTGAACTGATGTTGTTGATGAGAACTAGTTATGGTTTGGAGATTGGAAGATTGGATAGACCAAGTTGATGGAAATTGGAGAATGGGAGAGACTCAGTTGATGAAGCTGGTGATCTGATGAGATTTTTATTTGGACCCATGGAAATATTGCTGGTGAATTTAAAATCCGATGATTTATTTCGAATAAACCCGTTGAATCAGAATCAAATAATACAATAATTGTTTCTGGTTAAGTTTAATATGTTAGTTGACATAGTTACGGTGTGTAAGCTGTATAATATATTTGTTATCACCACGACTAGGGATCTTATTATATTGCTTCTTGTTTGTTGACAGGAAAGCGAAGTTGTATAGATTTGACAAAGAAGGTAGTCAATGGAAGGAGAGGGGAGTTGGAACTGTCAAGTTATTAAAGCACAAGAAGACCGGAAAAGTTAGGCTTGTTATGAGGCAGAACAAGACTCTTAAGATATGTGCCAATCATCTCGGTGAGTATACTGCTTACACCGTGTGTCAGATTTATTGTAGTGCTTAATTGTATATACCACTGGAAGTATCCATATTTGAGTGAGTATCGTTTAGTTAATTGTTGAGAAGTTGTATTGTGTTTGATGTCCTGTAAAATTGAGTATGTTGGACTAAAAATTGAATTTAATTTGTAAGTGCAGTCCTACCTACATTGACAATGCAAGAGCATCAAGGTAATGACAAGTCCTGTGTGTGGCATGCTGCTGATTTTGCTGATGGGGAGCTAAAGCAGGAGACTTTCTGTATCCGTTTTCCATCAGTTGAAAGTAAGTCACTTTGTAATATGACTTGGTTTTGATCCCCATTATGGTTTGTTTACTTTCGTGGATCCTGCTTTATTCTTTTGTCTATATTTCTTTCTTTTTTCAATTGCATTATTTTTATTTTTTAATTTTTTTTAATTTTTTGAGTTTGGACATGAGGTGAAATACTCGTGCGAATCATTTCAATGTTTTTGAACAAATTTTGATATATTAGACAAGTCTCTATACGTTATGAAGTTGAGTTCATGATTTGTTGGAATCTGCACTCTTAGTTGAAGGGGTGGAACATTTTTCTCTTTGATTATCTGTTTCTCTGATAAATTAGCAGTGAATGCCCATTTAATGGAGTATTCAGGCTGGTGATTGGACATTTATGCTATGTAATTACAATGTCATATCATTCTTCTTATTATTAATATTCCCCTACCTGAGTTATGTTGGTTTGGGCAGATTTGCTGTGTTCCTAGCATATTCCAACCACCCATCCCTTTCAATTTCGGAAAAGTTAGAAATATATTTACGCCTAAGTCATTTTCCGGTGATTACAACTACAGTGACAAGTTTGATGAATATACAGTAATTTATTAATGTTGCTTTTATATTCCAGATTGCAAATCATTCAAAGATATGATTGAAGAAATTACTGAATTTCAAGCAAAGGTCAGTGGAGATAGCGAAGAAGGTACTGCTGCTGCTGGTCTTCTTGAGAAGTTGAGTGTTGGAGGAAATGACAAGGAAGATAAAGAGTCGAAAGAGGCATCTTCCGCTGCAGGAGAGAAAAAGGAGGACAACAAAGAGAAAAAAGAGGATGACATAGAGAAACCTGAGGCCAAGGAGTAAGACCTTTTGGTTATCTCGTATTTCATTTTGTCAACAAAGGGTTGAAGCACGGGTTTTATATGTGAATTATATTGCCCTGTGCCGGACTATATTTATGAAAACGGTCTCTTATGTGATTTGGTGTATTCACTAGTTGTCGGTCGGTTGGTCTGTCTCGAGTGGTGTTTTTTGGATATCGAGTCGTGCAACATGTAATCTTGAACAGAAGCATATATGTTTATCTTGATGATTTTATGGTCTTTGTATTGGGAATTATTTAAGCTTTTTCTGTGGAGTAAGTAGAGGCTATATCAATTATCAGCAATGTTTTTCTGTTTTCCTTTTTGCTATATATACATGAAGCATTATCTTGGGGTGATTAAATTGCTTGTTTATTATTATGAATGAAAATTAACACTTTGGGAGGCCTCGAATCATAGGTCAACAGTGTGCTTTGAATAATGGTTCCAAGATAAGGTTGGTATGGATTATGTGATGGAAGGTTGGGTTTGTGGGTTCCCTAAAACTTCAGTCCTTAACAAGACAAAATCAATGCCCAAAGTAAATGAAAAAACTAATGAGGGCAATAAAATTATATTAACATCGATCAAGTGTGAAAGGAAGATTCAATTATTCCATTATGGAAGTTGACTGTAGAAATAGTAAAGACAATAATATTGGAGATAGAAAATCAACGTTGTGGCTGTTTAGGATTCTATTCGAGAACAAAAGTGCGGCAATGGTGGTGGCTGTCGAATGAGACAAGCACCGCACATCAGCTGTGAGATGGGGAATCGAGCATTTGCTCACCAACAACGTGACTCTTGTCATGGTTCATGTCAAGACCAAAAACTTGCATCCTCTCGCCCATTTTGGTCATGTAAGAATCATGTCCGTATCATAAAATTTGTAATAGAAAAAACAAGAATGGATGTTAAGATTCTATTCGATCCTAATATGCAGACTGAATGGCGGTCATTCAGAAGGTAACGGTGAATCTATGGAGGAGGTTTTCGCCCACTTTCGAGCTTTTTGTGCACGCAAAAGGGTAAGTAATTATTTTAAGTAACTATTTTTGAGATTTTCTCCGGGGGGCCTTTGATCTTCTTGTTTTGATTAGAAATCTCTTCTTGCATTGCAATACCTCCCATTCATTTTTATATATGAAAATGCTCACCTACCCACCGTAGAGATTTTCCCATTAGCCACATGTTAAAAACTCTCGTTATCTTTCAATGACAGACATATTAACTCGTGCCAACCGTGGGTAGAAGAGCGGGATCATGTATATACATTGCCAAAATCAGCTCATAGAGAAGAGCACGTTTAGGGATTTGTTGGACCCAATGACGCCCGATTGGCAGGTCGAGGAGATGCTCGATCTATTTTCTACGTAGCCTGTATATTTTTTTAAATAAATACAAAGCATTGTGGATGCAAAGGTGTGGAAATATAATGTCACAAAACCACAAGTTACAAAATATTTTTTTAAATGGAATCAAAGATATTACATGAAACAACTCGTTCATGATCTCGATTTAACTCTAACTTGACCACAAGGAGACTTGTTTGATAAAGGACTCAAAAATAAATATTTTTTACACAATTTTTTAATAATTCGATTAGTCAAAGCTCGAGCTCCACATAATAACATTGATAATCGCTGGACTTTACTCATCTTGTTTATACGGAATTTCGGAATGGCTCCTCATAAATCGTAACCTCAAAAAATGTTTAATCAGAATCTGATTTAAATTACACAAAAACCCACGCGCAGATCTCTAGCAGAGATCGATCCGACCCTGAGCTCTTAGAAATGACGGCAATGGCGTCGCCAGCAGCTTCGGCGAACGACGATGAGACGGTGGCGATGTCGAATCTTCTCCCTCTCGCCTCCGCAGCTCAGCAGCCATACGTCTCCGAGCTTCTCTCCTTCACACTCGATCGTCTTCACAAGGTTTGCCACACACTCCAATTGCTTGATTTCGTCTCTGAGGTTGGGCATTTGAAGATATCTTTTTTTTCCTTAATCGTTTTGTTTCAAGGAACCGGAATTGTTGAGAGTCGATGCGGAGAGGATACGGCGGCAGATGCAAGAGGTGGCCGTGGGCAATTACCGTGCTTTCATTGCGGCGGCAGATGCTCTGCTCGAGATCCGAGAGGAGGTTACTTCAATTGATAAGCATCTCGAGTCCCTGGTATTTTCCTCTCAGTATTGGTAGATTGTTTTTTCTTTTCAATTTCTGGTTTGAGTTACTGTTGAGCTGCCATTGTCGTTTAAGTGAGGTTTTGTTGATAATTAGGTATCACTATAAACTTCTTTAGTGAGGGTATTGATATAGAGTAAAATCTGATTTGGACATTGAATTGTTGTTCTGAAATTAAAGGTTCTTAAGCTACGTTTTGAAGCAATGAAGTATATTTTGAGTTTGTAAAAAGTTTCAGAGTGAATAGGTTGAGCCCATTGTCGTGGACAATAACATGGATGGATTCTGCCATAATTTGTTGCTAATCAAGTGAGATCCTATTGTGTTGCATATGAATTCAAATCAATCAATAGAGTAAGGTTTAAGATAAAGGAGAAAACTTGAAACATTCGCACTTCTATACTTCTAAGACCAAAGTGGTGTATGAAGAAGGTTGGATAATTGTATGTTATTTGTTTGTCGGTTGACTTATTGGTCAGTTCTATTGATAGTGAGTTGTAGAGCGGGGTAAATTGGGGACCAGAATTACTCTAGCTAGCATGTCATGCATGTGAAAACTCATCTAAATATTCTGCTATTTTGCTTCTTCATGCAAAGTTCAGAATATGGAGAAAAACATAAAGTCATGGGTATTCATAGATGTTTGTCTTCTTCTGCAGATAGCTGAAATTCCCAAGCTAACATCTGGTTGCACTGAATTTGTTGATTCGGCGGAACATATTTTGGAGAAGCGGAAGATGAACCAAACATTACTGGCAAATCATAGTACTTTGCTTGATTTGCTTGAAATTCCTCAGCTCATGGACACGTATGCCCTGGGGCTTATTTGCTGATACATTCACATTGCTTGTTAACCATAGTTTTCTTGAATCTCGAGGAATGATTTCAAATTACGTTGATGCAGATGTGTGAGAAATGGAAATTATGATGAAGCCCTTGATTTAGAGGCATTTGTAGTAAAACTTACTACGATGCACCCAAAGTGAGTTTCTTGTTTTAGCAACATGATTCATTCCACTATTACAGTTGATTGAAGCATTTATTAAGGCATCATTTTTGTTTTTTCTCCTACAAATAGAATTCCCGTGATTCAGGCTCTAGCTGCAGAAGTTCGGCAGACTACTCAGTCTCTTCTCTCTCAGCTTCTCCAGAAACTTAGATCTAACATTCAGGTATAATCTAATCTATAATTATACATTTATATTGATCACAAATGAAGCTCAAAACAAATTGGTGCCCCTCATGTGGATTATAAAACACCGAGTTGCATGCAGTTGCCTGAGTGCCTCCGCATCATAGGATATTTACGTCGAATCGGAGTTTTCAATGAATATGAAATGCGTCTGCAGGTACCATTATCAATTTTTAGTTTATTTTCTGATCCTACCTATTCTTGATTGTTCTTTTCCTCAAGTTTTCATAGCCCTGATATTTAGATATCATTAGACTTCTGAGATATAGTTCTGATCAAGGATCCATTTTCTGGTGGTCAGTTTTTAAGATGCCGTGAAGCCTGGCTTACTGGAATACTTGATGATCTAGACCAGAGAAACCCTTACGAATATTTGAAAGGGATGGTGAATTGTCATAGAATGCATCTTTTTGATGTTGTTAATCAGTACCGAGCCATATTTGTTGATGACACATCAGGAAATGAAGAAAATTATGATGGTGGCCTTCTCTTTGACTGGGCCATGCATCAGATTACCTTGCACCTGAAGACCCTCAAAATCATGCTTCCAAAGATAAGTGAAGGTGGATCTTTGTCAAACATTCTTGATCAAAGCATGGTGAGAATTAGTATTTTGCGTTTCCCCTCTGGACTGTAGCATCATGCCAGATGGGATTGCTTTTCTGTGTTTTTCAATTGAAATTTTTGACAAATACAGTTGACTATATGTGATGCCAATTTTTTTTTCTGCTTGTGGTCTACAGTATTGTGCTATGGGCCTTGGTTGGGTTGGGTTGGATTTTCGAGGACTGCTTCCTCCACTTTTTGAAGAGTAAACACACATTTCAATCATATTTTTGTAAAGAATTACACTCTTTTGCACTGAATGATCTCTCACGCGGATTTTCTTTATCGTCTCAACAGAGCAGTCCTTAATTTGTTTTCTAAGAATATGAGGACAGCCGTGGAAAATTTTCAGGTAAAATTTCCTATTAAGTAAATGTTGTTTGAATATGGTATCTACCTTCAGTTACAATCAAGACTCATGCTTTGGAATTCTATGCTCTTTACATAAGAACAAATAGTCTTTGGTAAAGGTACGAGTTTGACGAATGTTTCACTTTATCCAGTTAGTCCTTGATTCTCACCGGTGGGTCCCGTTGCCAGCTGTTGGCTTCCCCGCAAGTAGTTTGAATGAAGAAAGTCGTGAAGATGTCACGCCTCCTTCGAATCTAATGGAGCATCCGCCGCTTGCCGTTTTCATCAATGGTAAAGTTATTAGTTGTCAATATTTACAAAGTAGTACAAAAAAATTTTAAAGTTTGTTTCACTTAATGATTCTCTGTTCTGGCACCAGGTATATCTGCAGCTATGAATGACCTACGCCCTTGTGCTCCTTTAAGCCTGAAAAACGTGCTTGCCCAGGAACTAGTTAAGGGTTTGCAGGCAGTTTCAGACTCGCTACTGAGATACAGTACAACTAGAATGCTCAAAGATAATGAGTCTGTTCTTTTTATTAAGCTGTGCCATGCTTTTGTTGAGGTGAAGTGAAGTTGTTACCATTTATCTTTACCTTGTTATTAAACAAAACCTCAGGCCAAATCTTTGTAGTTAGTTCTCTCAAACACTTTTTACGTCCAGGTTGCTTTTCCTCATTGTGCAACATGCTTTGGTCGTTGTTACCCGGGCTCGGCAGCTCTCATCTCCGATGCAAAAAACTTATTCGATGGACTTGGCCGACTATTAGCATCCTCGCCATCAACGGAACTACCAAAACCTACTCTCAATGCTGAGGCTAATACAAATGCTAATATACCGGAAAATGGTAATTCGCCAACTGTGGAAAATGGGGTGGCGAATGGGATACAACGAACCACGAGCTCGGAAAAAAACCAGGATTACACAAGTCCACTCAAGGATAGGGTGGATTCAGATGAAGATGTCAAAGGACCAAAAGTAACATGAAACATAACACATATCCCTGCATTTTTTTTTTTTTTCTAATTATTATTATTCTCTGTTTACTGTGATTATAGAGGCATAAATGACTCTTCTTTTGTTTCTTTTTTCTAGTTCGATATACACAAACGAACAGTTGTTGGATATTCAGAAACTGCGTAAAATTTTTCATCGATGCAAAAGTTGTTCTTGCTGTAGAACCATATGTGATTCTCTTTCAATTCTGTACTTTAGGTTTTTGAACATTGTTAGCGAAGGGATGTGTTGAATAATAATACTTCACTTCACTTGCTTCTTAAATTCAGGGTGACCTCAGAAAATTATTAAAAGTAATTATTTACTTCATCAAAAGTTTAAAAAAGAAGTAGAAACAGCAATTCATGACAAGACAAGATAGTATTATTTATTTAAAATTATCCAATCCACAAATCCCTTTTTTAATATGTCTGAAACCCACAAATCTCCAGACATCAACCACCCACTGGGACAATATAGTTACATCAATATTTAAACAAATGTATTGTTTTTTATTTAAAATTATTCAATGATCATTGTACCTAGAGAGAGAAGAAATGTCTAATTGTAAACCCCAACAAATGTAATGTTTTTTTATTTTTTATTTGTTTTTTTCATTTTCTTATACAACTACACTATGCTGCTCCCCACTAGCCAGCACTTGCTTCAAATTCTATCATTGTCCCTTTGAACAGCACTTATGATTTTAACAAACTTGGTTTATTTAAACAGACATTAGACAACAATACATAAGTGGCATTATAAATTTATAACACACTTAAAACCTAACAACAGTAGTTCAAGAGAATATGACCAATTATTTTCTCCCTTAATCAGTGAATGAACTTCACACAAAATTATAGTTCAAAATCTTCCAATACAACCATAATTCACTATCCACCTAACATGAAGCTCATTCAACAAACAAACACACATACAAACAAATGCGTATCTGTGTTTCTGTCATCTCCTCAATTGACATGCTCTATTGTCTCAGACCTTCAAGGAAACCTTCCCTGAAAGATGCAAAAGTTGATCACTAATTCCCAAGAAAAGCAATTTTTTGACAAAACACGGATCTTTTATAAATAAATAAATAAAGAAATATATATATATTACTATATACATATATATTCTTTCAGTGACTTCCACACATAGTGTTCTAATAATGTCAACCTATGAATATGATGGTGCAAAGATAATGGAAACACTTATTATTGAATAAATGTAGCAATCATGTTACCTTAACAGTCAACAGAACTATAAAAATGAAACATACTTATAATTATCCGCTCTACTAAGGGAGACAGCAAACAAGAAATAAAAGGACCAAACTTGTATGTAGCTTAATCACCACCACTGGACACATAAACAGTACCATGTAAGTATCATTTTCTTTATAAAAAAAAATACATTTGAAAAAAGCAATCTTTACAATCAACTAATTATGATCGGTTGATCACACTTTAACAAGTATTTTCTGTACTAAAGGTCATGCAAAGTAGTGCGAAATTTAAAACCGTAAATCAATGAATTACGAATAAGAATAAAAATGGTCTTTGAGCATTGCCTTCCTACTCCACTTGCCAGCACCAGTTAAGAACATAATCAATAAAGTTATCCTGCATCATCTTAGATCCATATTTAAATCGATATATTATGAACCCAAAATCATGAAACAAACACGGTATGGAAAATTCAATAATTTTCATTCTACTCATGCATACCAAGGGTGTTTTATTAAAGATTTAAAAAGAGGAGTCAATTACAAAAATCAACCAATCTGAAAGTTTCAATAGAGTTGAAGGAGAGTTGTGGAATTTGTTCATGTAGGGAGCAAAAAAAGCAATAAAACGGATCGATTTCAATATTTTCATCCCAAGACTCAAAAGGCGATACCGATTCAATAAAACATGTAACGCGAAAATCCACCATTGAAAGCTCGTTCGAAAGCTTTAATTTGTTAAATAGCAAACTAAGCATGTAAACATTTTCAATTTCAAGAAAATACAAGACTTGTTAGCAATTCAGATTGGTAAAAGTCATATGAAAAATCATCAACAGACTATACAATATAATTGGAGACTAAGTTCTATATAACTCATTCTTGAATCTTGACCTATTCAATTGGTAGCCAAACTAAGTTTATGAATTAAATTATAAGAACACAAATTAGAATATAAACAAGCTTAAGCAGCACATATGTTCCATATCTACTCAATTCAATCCTTTTACACCCTAATTAAACAACAAGAAGATCAATACTACTTAACTAAATTATGGATTGGAAGAATTTTAAATTAGGCTTAATTGACGATTTTTTATTTTTTTTTAGATCTGCACAAACTACGTAAACCACTATTTCATGGATCTAACCCAGAAACCCTAAAATTCAGTAAAAAAAATCTTCAAAATAGAACTGGTAGAGCTAGGCATCATCAACCTACAAAGAAACCACAGAAAAAATAAAATCAAATCATAAGAAACTCACAAAAAAATTAACAAATCAGATCATGAGGTGATAACCTAAAGACACTAAGTCCAATTTGGAGCACATATATCCACATTAACAAAGTTATGAAATGGGAAAAAAAAATACCCAAAAAAAAACACACACACACACACACTCACACACAAACAGACAATAAAAAAAACATTTGCAAGAAGATGACATAGAAAAATGGTGGGGTGACAGATAGAGAGTGAGCACACATAGCTTCAAGCATATGACTAATTTCATGCAAGAAAATACACCATTTGTGCTCACTCTCTTCTGTCACCTCCCTTACCCTTGAGTCTTGATAGATAATTTCTTTTTTTTAAAAAAAAAAAACTAATAAAACAACGAGTTATTTATTGATATTTGTTGGTTTGATGTTTTTATGGGGAACCCTAAAAAAAAAAAAGTAAATCTTGAAAGCCTCAAAAAACAGTGAGTGAGTGGGTGGGGAACTGTTCCATTAGAGAAAGGAACACTGCTTTTGATTTGGATGTGTGAACAAGGGATAATGCTATTTGGACCCCCCTTATATAGATAGCATTGAGAGACCCCCAACAAAATGATAATAATAGTAGTAATAGTTATAGTAACAATAACTAATTTAATAAATTCAAACCCTTCAATAGTAGGATGAATACACAATTAAATATATATAAATATTATTTTATTTTATTATTATTATATATACGTGCCATTCATATATAAAATGCAGCATAATGTGGAATGAGAAATATCAATGCTTATTCAATCTACAAGAAATCTCGAGAATGAAAGAAAGAAACTCAAAATCTAAACTTACACGCTAAAAAATGACACTAGAGTACTAGACATAACTGAAATGTTAATTTTTTTACTCAATTTGACTGAACATATTTTGTGAATTGTGATACAATTTGATACACATAGCTCCTAAGTGATAAAAGACAAAAAGACTGGATTTTTTTTTTTCTTCAATCCTACAACTTTGATGGATAGGGCTCTAAGGTACAAACGAATCAAGCCATTCTCGAACGCTCGAGTCAAGATTGGGTTATAAATCTTGAATATTCAAGCCTAACACAAACGAAATTCAATCTAATAAAATTTGAGCAGATCTCAAACATTTTTATATTTTTTAAATTGAAGATATCGAATTGTTAGAGCAACAATGAAAAATATCGAATTCAGCTTGATAAGGTAAATATTCAACTTAGTTTGATAAATAAAACCACGTCAACTTTTTAATTAGATCCACAATCTATCGAACACATATGTGGGCGGTGTGAACATGTTTAATAGTTTGGTTAAATAGTTAGGCACATGGTCAAACCTTATCCTTGCAAATTGAATGAATGATATAAAGGCCAATTTCAGGCCTTTAATGTGATCTCCAACTTCCACGAATATATTACTATCTCCTATTTGTCATTTTGGCATTATCAATATTAATCACATAAATCACATTATAAATATTTTGCACATATTTTTTTAATATTATTACACTCATTTAGCTAATAAATACACTTTCATATTCATTTTTCATTTTTTTTTTCAAAATATTTATCTCTTTCTTCGGGTTATTATTAGAAAAAAAAAATCTTAGAATTTATGGTTTATTTACAAAGCCATGTAGCTTTCTTTAACATTTTTAAAATACACATGTCAATTTTTAAAGACATTATTTACATGCATAATGACGTGTCATGAGGTATGTAAAGGCTGGGATCGGCATTTTCTTGGCTGATGGACACTTCTCTACCATATCGGCATTTTTTCTTGATAGATTGATACTTACCAAATGGGGCATTTTCTTGGCAAAATGACATTTTTCTGCCAAAGTCATTTTTATTTTATTTTTTTGCAGATTGACACTCGGCATTTTGTTGACAGATTGACATTTTTTTGACACATTGACACTTTTCTGCCGAATTGGATTTTTTTTTCCCGATCGAGTAGTTACGAATACTATACTACTGAATTAATGTGCCTAATTTATTAATGTGACTAGATATATGGGCTTGAAAAGTTAATTAAATAATTCATGTTGTGCATCAATTTGAACACTTACAAAATTATTCCACGACATGTTTTCTGCATCAACTATACAAAGTCAACCACAATAATCAGCTTTCACTTCTACCACATTGTTTACAACAGTCAAGCATATCATTGGTTCTTTAAATTGGTGGCAAAAAAGAAAAGCTCAAAAGTCGACTAATCTTGATACTAAATAAAAATGCATACATACACTACTAATGAATAATAAAAATAAATGTTCGGAAAAAATAAGATGGAAATATATTTCACTAGAAGTTCCTATGCTTATTCCAATGTCGTAACTAAAAAATTAACGGATATTCCACTCGAGGTCAAGACTAAAATCTTCCATTTCCGTTGATATTAAAGTTTCCTTAGAAGTAAATAGATGATTCCAACAACATTTTGTTTCAATGATTTACGATTTTAGGAACGTTCATATGCAATTTTCACTCTGATTATTTTT